AAAGTCTTGATTTCGATGTTATTTTGAGAAAGGAACATTACCAGGAGTGGTTATATTTCTGCGAAATAAAATGGTAAATGTTTATTTCAGTGGATAAAAAGTTAAAATTGAGAGAATTTCCCATACCGGGAGTCGAACCCGGGCCGCCTGGGTGAAAACCAGGAATCCTAACCGCTAGACCATATGGGAATTCATATGACACTTGCAAATTTTTAAGATTCTAAACAAAATGTCAAAGATGCTCGTGAGCAAAATGTACGTTGTAAAACGAATTCAGGTTATGAAGGCTATAAAACAGTTTGAATTATCTATATGTTTATTTGTGAATACAAGATAAACTCGTTCAAAAGCTTTGTAACTGATTATGTGCTACAATAAGTCTCAGTAACACTTACCACTTTATGACAGGGCTTGAACACATCTGATCTGATGACGCTGCACATCTTGTGAGCCCACGGTGCACGATGCTTATTTTTCACGCAGGGATCTTTGGGAATGCTTGCATTTGGGCATGACGTCTCGACCTTCCAGCTATCGCCGAAGTCAGTCGCCAAGGTCTCTGGTGACAATTGCGGCGTCATGAAATCGTCATTTCTGTCGTCATTAAAGTTGCCGCATAGGCCACAGGTTCGCCCTGACAAACAAAGTATGTGTCATGAACCTGTTGTCTCATAACGAAAAGAAAAAATTAAAAATTTCCTTAAGAAATTTCAACATGCAAACACCAAAGACACATCGATACAAGGTTTTTTCTGGACCTAACGTATGATATTCATAAATATTGACGGGAATGTACCCTATACTCGAATGTGTTTCGACCGGCCATTATGAATACGAGATCATATTCATTTCAGATGGAGGCGATTTACGGGTGAAACAACTCTTTCCATAGCCACGACCAAGCTTAAGCAAAAGGCGTTCAGAGTCAAAATGATCCCTCTCGAAAGGCTGACGTATTAGAAGTCACAACTCTTTCTCTCTTTAAGGTTATTGCAGTAAAATGCATAAGTTTGATTCTCTTGCTTTGGCAGACAACAACAAAATCTCTACTCACCTTTAAATTTGGGATCCAAGGTAATATACAGCCTTGTTCCTCTGTCCCACGTGACTGTCAAACCAAAGCCAGTCTCTAACATAGTGAAGAAGTGGCGCTCTCTGATTTGAAACCTCTCAATGATGTTCAAGCCTCCAGCACCCGGCCGCGCTGATATCACAGGGTCTTTCTCTCTTTCAAGAGTGACTACCGTGTTGTTGAGCGTAATGATCACTTTCTTTGTGCAAATGACGCCACTGGACCCGCAAGGCACATTTTGGGCCTGTATCTGGAAGGTAACCGACGAGGTACCATCACAAGAGTCCTGAGCAAGGACATAATCACAAGCCCCATTGAAAGGGTACCTTCTGCCGTCGAAGGTGATATAATTCAGTTCGCCATACACGGAGCAGGTTCCAGGACAGTCGTGGCTTGTACACGACCATTGAGTACCCTTGCAAGAACTGGAATAAGACAAAGAACATCTGGCTCAGAACTCGGAGATACGTAAATTTACCTGGATAAACTACTTCCTTCTATGTTTAAGTGGTACAGAGGTCATTTTAAGTGGCTTTTAGATGCCAGGTTACAAAATAACAGTTTCTTCCACAGGACTATTTCTATGCAGGATTCCTGTCCAGACAGCAACAAGACAAGCAGTCACTCAGTTGTATCACGTTGTACAAACACTTCATCTTACACTTCGTCATCGTAATTCCCTGTCAAAAGCTAAAAACGTTAAAAAAAGTTGTGTGTTGGGATCAAGACTTGTTTTCGTTTCTAGTCGTCGTATTACCCGCAAATATTTGAGAATTTTTTTTAACACGTAGGCCGGTGATAAACTTGGAATTAGGCTCGAGCGCTTCTGATTAGAAGTCACTTCTAAACGGATTTCTTAGGACTAGCTGCAGATTTTTCTTCACAAGATCGTAAGACCATGTCTTGTTTGAAGCCCGATAGACCTCTTCAGCTTGTGTGTTTTGTTTACCCCTTTCAGGTCTCAAGGGAATTCTCTGCTTTATCTTTTGTAAATTGCGTACATATGTGCGCGACCAAAAGGGAACTTCAAACTTAAGGAAAAGTTCTCCAGAGTATCATAAAAGGTCGTTAAATGGATAAACAAAACAAACAAGTTTAAGAGATCTACTGTCTCCAGATCATTGAGCTACAGTACCCTCGGTCAAGTTTGTGGAAGACGTACACACTGTAAAATTATGTTCACAGTTCGGGGTAATTGTTCTTTCTTTGTGCTTATACGGGGTTGTCTTCACTTTTATGTTTCCAACGAGATGCGTGATGCTCCTCCTACATTAAGCCAGTGATCGTAGCATTTACGTTGTTTAGTGCTCCAATCATCCAATTTGTTTTAGCTTGGATAATGCAATGTAACTCACAGACAATTTAGATGTTGTAGATACTCAGTGTTACCCTTAGTACATACCAAGTTTTACAATCCACTTCAATCTGTTGTCCTGGCCGGTAACTATGACCGCCATAATGACAGAAGCATTGGGAGGAGTTGATACACCGCTGACCATGGAGCACTGTACCCTCAGGGCAGATACAACCTTCCTGGCTCTTAGTTTCCAAGCAGGGTAGATGAAAATTTTCACAAGTCTTTGCGCATTCCGCACCACGGTTTACCCACTTTTGCCCAGGGTGACAAGCTATGAAATGAAATTTACATTTACTCTGACTCGAAAGATAAAAGACCGTTTTAATGAACACCGCCGTACCACTGATAAACCTAACTCTAAATCTAAACCTACTACAGTCGCAGAACACCTCCTATCCTCTCTCAACCACTCTTCTTACGACATGGAGCTTATCGCCATCGAAAAAGTGTTTTCCAAGAGAGACTCGATCCGCAAGACCAGGGAAGCTTTTTTAATTTCAAAAGGCAATACTATTTATCCCGATGGCCTTAACGCTCGCGAAGAAATGTATAAGTGTTTTTCCTTCTGCTATTCTTACTTATAGTTATCTAATTTATTCAATTTACCCCACTTTACTTCTATTTTTATTTACTATTTCTATTTTTAATTATTATCTCATTGTCAATCAAATTAGTTTTACGTATTTCCGCTATTACATCATACAGCTCTCTAAGTACCACCTTAATTCTATGTCAATTCCCACTGCACCTGAAGAAGGCTGGTTTGGCCAGCCGAAATATACTGCTCCGTATTAAAACTTATTTACGTTGTATCGGTCTTGCCTCCATATTCACTTTCTAAAACAGAAACTGCGCTAAAAAAGGCACTTTTTATTAATCCCGCCAATTATCCTTTGAAAACATTTTTAACTTTTGAGAAAACTAAAAGTGGAATAAAACTGAGAGCTGCTGGTTTAAAGAATGTTGAAAATGAGTTTTTCAGATATGCGTGGATAATAGTAAATTTTAAATGTTGGCACATTTTTTTTTTTTTTTTTTCATCCGTTCAATTTTTTTTAATGAAAGATAATGGGAGTGGTTATGTTTCAGCGAAATAAAATGGAACGTGTTTATTTGGGGTATAAAAAGATAAATAACGCTAGTTATTCCCATACCGGGAGTCGAACCCGGGCCGCCTGGGTGAAAACCAGGAATCCTAACCGCTAGACCATATGGGAATTTATATACAAATGAGAAATTCTTGAAGTCGTAAACAAAATATGAAAAATGGCCTGAGAAAAATGAGTGAAATGAAACTGGGTGGAATGAAACTGAGTGGAATGAAACTGAGAGTTCTCGGTTTAACAAATATAGGCAATGAATTTTTGAACTATTAGCATGGATTCGAAGGTTATCGAGAATAATCTCAATTTGCAAACGTTGGGACACATTTTTTCATCCGTTCCATTCTTTTAATGAGAGATAACTGAACTGTTTATATTTCTGCGAAATAAAATCGAAAATGTTTATTTAACTGTGTAAAAAGATTAAAAGCGACAACTATTCCCATACCGGGAGTCGAACCCGGGCCACCTGGGTGAAAACCAGGAATCCTGACCGCTAGACCATATGGGAATACATATACAAATGGGAAATTCTTGAAGTCGTAAACAAAATATGAAAAATGGCCTGAGAAAAATGAGTGGAATGAAGCTCAGAGCTCTCGGTTTAACAAATGTAGGCAATGAATTTTCGAAATATTAGCGTTTATTCGAAGGTTATCGAGAATAATCACAATTTGTAAATGTTGGGACACATTTTTCATCCGTTCCATTCTTTTAATGAGAGATAACTGAACTGTTTATATTTCTGCGAAATACTGAAAAATGTTTCTTTAATTGTATAAAAAGATTAAAAGTGTAAATTATTCCTATACCTAAGTTTCTAATCGCTAGACCATATGAGAATTCATAATCAACTGGGAATTCTTAAGGAGGTAGACAAAATATGAAAAATGGCCTGAGTAAAATGAGTGAAATGAAACTGAGAGCTGTCGGTTTAACAAATGTAGGCAATTTATTTTCAAAATATTAGTGTAGATTCGAACGTAATCAAGAATAATCTCAATTTTTAATTATTGGGACACATTTTTTCATCCGCTCCATTCTTTTACTGGGGACTTTAAGCGAACCACGACGGCTACGGCAACGAGAACGTGGAAAAACAATAGATCTAATTGGCAGAACAATAGCCCAGCACGTGCGTTTTAAAACTTTGTACATTTCTTAGCCGTTCTTTCAAAATGACAACGTGAAATCACCAGAATTTGCGTCGTCTGCGAAGTGAAACCGCGGCGGCAAATTATTTTAATTTACATTTGGAACTCAACGCTACTTTTATGCGTTATGTTGAGTTTGAGGTCTGGCGCCCTATGAGACGGTAAACACATGCAGCCATTTTCGAAATTCTAACTAAAAGTAGAAACTCAGTTTTTGATCGACGTCTTCCGTGGCGTTGCCGTCCTAATTGCTTAAAGTCCCTAATGAGAGGTAACTGAAGTGTTTTTATTTCTGCGAAATAAAATGGAAAATGTTTATTTAACTGTATAAAAAGATTGAAAGCGACAATTATTCCCATACCGGGAGTCGAACCCGGGCCTCCTGGGTGAAAACCAGGAATCCTAACCGCTAGACCATATGGGAATTCGTGTGGTGCAAGGTAATTCTTAATGTGGTAAACAACGTTTGGGAAATGCTCGTGATTAAAATATCCACTGCAGTTTCCAACGAACTCAGGTTATGAAGGCTGTAAACCAGTGTGATTGATTTGTGTTCATTTGTGAATACAATAAAAACTTGTTCAAAACCATATTCACATTTAACTCCAAAAACACAACGTTTCAAAAAACAAAATGTGAACAAGAAATTATTTTATATTCTGGAGCGAACTTTCGTTCGTTTGAGCCGTCCATCAAATCTTGCAAGATTATCCTTAAAAGCAGAAATTTACTGCGTTTTATGTGGTCGTTACTTTTTTGGACAGAAGAAGTCCAGGATACAGAGGCGTGGCTAAGGGGATTCTCGATTTGCCGCAGACCCCACTCCCCCTTTCTAAGAGAAAGTCTCTTAATTCAACGACGTACAACACACCTGCGAAACGCACGAATTCGAAGAGGTGCTAGATACCCCATTAAGAGCTCCTTTCCGCCACACGAACAAGGACAGCAGCGGTGGCATCAGTTATTTCAATATATAGATTTAGCCAAGCCTAAAAGCGGAGCTCCCGAGTTCGTAATAGTAATGATAACATAAAAGATGTGATTTTGCCAAGACTCGCCTGAGTCACCCCTCCCTTAGGCACGTACGTACGCTCGGTCAGTCACGTGACAACCAAACGAAAAGAGGGTGACCATATTCCATGGGTAGGGGGCTCTGCCCCACGCGCACGGAGCGCGTGTGGGAGCCCCGCTATAAAAGGGGCGCGAATGCCTAAAAATCCTTGAAAGGTCCTTGCTACCTGTATGTCCCCCTGTGATCTGACTTGTAAGGAAGAAAAACGATCTTACCTTTGCATGCTTTTTGTGTACAGTTAAATCGGCCATCCCTACAAATACTGGAAAAACAAAGTTGGTCATTAAGACTCTGAGAAGAACGAATAGATGATACAATAATAACTCAGAGTCATTTCATAAGCCTCTAAAGAGCTACAATGTTTGACTACTTAGGCGCTGCACTAGCCATCCAATATTTTTTTTAAATCATCACCAAGAGGAATAAGACACAGAAAGTTTTCAAAACAAAAAAAAGGACACAGAAATTGAAACGGGTAACGTAACAGAATGGAGTAAAGACCCGCATAACTATTCCGTCAGTGGAAGAATTTGCAATTGCCCACGTTTCGAGAAACAGGCACCGAGTCCCCAAACACCCGTCTGGATATGGTTTCCTTTTCTAAAGCGGACTGATATTGAGCTTAGCGTTGGAGAAAAAACCTTACCACTCTTTGCAGTTAGCGGAGCGTATCACAGTTCCAGGTTTATAAGATTGTCCATCGAGGGAACAACGACATTGCGAATGGGGAACACATCGGTCATCCTCTGTGAGTGCCATCCCCTTTGGACAGTTACATCCCTCAACACATTCTTCTTCGCAAGGAAGATCCATGGAGATTTCATGACACGTCCGCCGACACGAAGAACCGCAGACTTGGTGCACTTGGCCGGTGATGGGACAAACTGCATCTGAAAACGAAAGGCGCTTAAAATACACGTCTTTGAATGGCGAACGAATGAAGTACTTCGGGGCTGTCCTCAGCCATATTTGTGCATTCCTATATTACAGGTATTTTGCTTGCCAATGAACGAGGAGAGAAATGCAGTCTTACAAAAACGATACACTGGTTCATATTGCCGCTGCTTTGTGGATGATGTGATGCATTGCAATTTACGCGATTAAAGAAATAATGTAGTTGAGATGAATGAGTCTTCAGAAAAGGCCTAGGTTCGAGCGTAAGCTGGCTCTCTTCGGCAATCAATGTCTCTCCCCAACAATTAGCCAAAGGACACCGGAAAAATGTCAGGGAGACCTGGCCAAATTGAGGGGTTAAGATGCACTGGACTTGTAACTGCAGTTCTCTTGTCGACTCATCCCTTGGAAAATGGGATAAGTTTCGATGTGGCATTTTTAAGAATAAGTCCCATCTGTATAGTTAACTTATTGACGTGAACAGAAATTGTACCGGAAATTCTAAAACACCCATCATTAAAACAAAATAACAATTTAAAGTAAGTTTAATCATTTGCGTAGTAACTACACTTACCACCTTTCACTCCTTTTAGGAGGCAGTGAAGTACTAAAACAAGGATTGTAGAAGTCTTTTTTCACATTTAAACACTGGCCAGCGCTTCAGTTGGTTTTGGCTTCCTAGATTTCCTCGAATCAGAGAGCAAAAGGGAAGAGTCTGCGTAATTCAAGCAAATACTTACTGCATTCCGGTATAGATTTAGAGTTGATCCAATCGATTACGACCCCATGTCTTGCGCAGTCGTGGACGTAAGCAGCAATAGCAGTACAAAGGCATTGGGTTCCATGTTGACATCCACAGACGTCGTACATGCAGCTGGCGATGTACCCATCGGATGGGTTTACTGTGTGATGGCAACTGCTAAATGGCGATTGCAGTAGTCTGTTACACAGTCTTTCCGCGGCAGCCTTCCTCTGAATCTGCACTTCACACGGATGCTTCAATGGCTGCGTGTCATTGCAAGCTGGGCCCACCTTCCACGAGTTTCCGAAGGCTGTTACACTCGTCTCTACAACGTCCTCTTTGGTGGTGAAGTCGTCCTTTTGTTTGCCATTAAAATTTCCGCACAAACCACACGTCATGTCACGAAAACGAGGCTGAACTCTCACGTAAACACGCGAAATGCCATCCCACTTGACACTGACGCCAACAGGACTATAAACTGACGTCATTGATGATGAAAATTGCTTGATAATGTAACCTACAAACACAGCATACCTACAGTTATTTCAATTTAATTTTAAGAGTTACCAAATTTGAAAAAAAAAAAGCTGGTATCGTCAAATATCAATTCCATTTTTTTACGTATTGCACCTCGATTTCAAAGTATCTTTTGATTTTGTCGTTGTTGTTGTTATTGTTTACCACTAATTCTTGCCTAAATTGTGTATCATCACTTCTCCAGTCGAGTTGTGCTGTGAGAGATATTGGATTAGTTTTATAGCTTTAAGTTTAATTATAAAACCCACCTAATATAGCACGCAGTTAGAGATTTACACCGAATAAGCGTTGTTGCTCTTCTATCGTGCACGGTTGTTCTTCTACATAGTGTGAATGGTTCAAGAGAGTTTCACAAAGCTTTACTTAAAATAATCCTTTTCCATAAATCACTTCTACTCACTCTCTGTTGCTATGGGGAAATTTGCTACTCTGTTCCCGTTAATTAGAACCGTCCCTCCTCCCCTTAGTATGATAGTTGTCCCATTGAGGTACACATAGACGTTCTTGGTTCAGGATACTGAACCATCGGAACCGCATTCCGCGTTGTCTCCCAGAATAGTGAATGAATTATTGACACAATCCTTGGCCAAAATGTACTGGCATTTGCCCATGAAGGAAAACTCTTGCCCATCAAACGTTCTGTAGTGTGGGTCGCCACTCGCAGAGCAGACTCCTAAATAAACAATATTCGGGACTCTTTCAAAATTGATTTACCATTAAAATTTCTTTTGACTGTAAAAATCGAGGATTTTATTAAAAAAATATCCAGAACCCTTACTTTTAAAAAAATTCAACGTGCAGGATTAATTGATTAATCTTACATGGGTCAACATTAGTCGAAGTCGGAACCCGAGCTCGTGCAACATGGTTTTAAGTCAGAAAGATTTACTCATGTTGATTCATTCCAAATTACATTTGAAATCACTGGATTACCTGGATTCATGTCATTATCTGAGTAGCTGCGCACCCACCCCTCCCCTAACCCAACAAATGTCAACTAACAACAAGTTAAGGTCAATGTTGGGTCAGGGGAGGGGTAGGGGCGCGTTTGCTCAGATCCTGACATTGGTCCCCTGACACAATATCTAAATCACAGTAAATAAGCCGGTTACTCCACTCTCGAAGCAACATTTAATATTAGAAACGCGAAACATTCTTACCTGGACACTGACGGTTTGTACACAACCATCGGCCATTGGCACATGTGCTTCATTAAAAAAAAAATATCAAATCAGTAACGTAGAAATAATTTTTTAATTTTCATACGATGTTCAAGAAATGTAGTCATTGAGCGATCCCACTTCTCGGATGGAAGGTCCTGTTGGAAGTTGGAATCATAAACAAAACTTTTCTCGACTGTTTCATAAATAGATGCAAAATTGTGGAAAGAAATATCTTTGCATCTTTAAAGGGTTTTTGGCAAAGGCTTTCTGAAGGAACTTACACCTGCCGAAATTCTTTATTTTCACCTAAAATGAAAGTGTCCCTTAAAATAGGAAACCTTTTAATTCAATTGCACATTTTTGGCAGGTCAGTGATTCGCACAGCAAACTTTTACTTGACAACTTCACGTTCTAAGGTTATCTAAGGGGCTTCAGATACCATTTACTTACCAGTTGTTGCAATCGCGCTTAATGACAGAGTTTGGCGGGTGATGCTTCTTATTATGAACACAGGGGCATTGCTGTACAGTGACACATCGCTGACCATCATACACTGTCCCGTTACCACAGTGACAGACGTCAAGACATCGCTCAGGACAAATGTAATTTCTGTTTTTGATTTGACACGTTGGAGGGCAGGAGGAAGCACATTCGGTGAACTGCTGAGTTTTTGGACACGTAACAGCTAGGAAATAAAAAATTGATTTAATCTCCGCTCAGCCTATGTAGCAGGCACACGTGCGCACCACTGTATAGACAGATGGAGAGAGTGGTCAACTGATAACAAGTTAAGGTTTGGTTAGGGTAGAAGCGTAGTGGCTGAGACACTTACACTGATCCAAAATTTTACAGTCATTTTTCACAGACAGCGACGTGGCAAAGAAAGCGATTTCTAAATTTATTCTTCCTGCTAAATAAAATTTTCGACCGTATCAAAGGTGTTAGTTCAAGATTGAAAATCCTTTGTTTCCTTGCTAAGAGTTATGAGCTGTTCTTCTGCTGTCAGGTAAGGCCTTATCGTGAGCCTCATTAATTTTTCAGGTGACGGCTTTGTTAATTAAGTTATTTCCGAAGGAGAACTACAACTAAAAATCATCTTTAGAAGTTAAACTTCTTTTTTAATACTTCTAAAAAATTCAAAGGTTTTTGACCTTGCACAACAAAGCTTTCTGTCAACAGAAGATAACTTACGGCATAAATCAGTTGTTCTCCATTGTATAGCCACCTTATTCCGGGCACATGCTCTGGAGTACTGCGTGAAAGCTGAGCATGCGCAGTCAAACCGGTCAGTCAAATTGCACCTACAGAGTTCTTCCTCGCACATTTTGATGAACGGCGCAGGATCGAGAGCCCCGTGACATGGAAAGAACGTCGCATTCCGTAGGAAGGAACAGATGCCTCTGATCTGGAGACGAAAATTAAACAAAATGGTAAAGTGGAATTAGAGTGGATGTTTTGTGGATCCTCTTGGCGCTTGGATCAATTTTCCGATGCATTCCAAAAAAAAAATCCGGCAACAAATAGATTCTGCTGTTGCAGTGCATCTGTTCCGTAATAGATATCAGAAACACATGGAGCGCAGTCCAGTGTGTTACTGATCTTCTCATCATATATTGAACATTTTATGTTTGCAGTTGTTCAACTAATCAGGTAAGCGGGTCCGTGCTTGAATTTCCACCATACGCTTACCTTCGTCCTGTTACCTTGCGTAAGCATATTGCAAGGATTCCTGGTTTCTTCTTCCCGTACGTTGGGACACATGTGAAAAATATCAGTCATACGCCAACTATTTCCAAATTTGGCGATAGATGAAACCTGCTGACGTCTATACGTCATGATGTCATCATCTGGTAAGCCATTGTAGTTGCCGCAGAACCCACAAGTCTTATTTTTGTGATTGGCTGAGACGTGGACGTATACTGCATCAATACCATCCCATAATACTGTCATTCCATTGTAACCGTACGTAATAACATAGTTGGACACTTTTTCGATGACAACACTGTTCACGACGTGGGGAAGGGAAACACTCTTGTTCGCCACTGTAACTTGGTCACGTTCTCCTAGAGAAATCTGACAGAAATTTTCAATTATTGGTCTGTTGAGTTTATTTTCTTAACTGACCATTTTATGTATGGAGGAGATTGCTAGATTAAGAATTTTCGCCGAGCGACGCTGATAATTCAAGTGTGAGAGAAAAAGACGTTTCTGGTGTTCCCAGGTGTTTTGACCGCGTCATTCATCCCAAATTGGCCATTATTATGAAATAATGTTTCCTTTTTGTACATACTTCGCCTGCTCGATTCAAATTTTGTGATAAAATTCCTCATAAATTCGTGAAATTTCTATGCCTATGTTACTGCAAAAAAAAAAAGAAGTCTTCCTTATTTTCCACAGGTCGTGCCTAATTTTATAAGCGTTTCCAGGGTTTGATCTTTTCTATATCAAACATGATCATCATTCAAGGTTATTATTTGAGGCAGAATACTCAAAAACTCTATGTCCTGCATCAATTTCGTATCATAAGTCTGCAAAATCCTTGGTCATTCGTAAAAAAACACAGCAGTCAAACGTCTGCGCATATGCGAACGTAGGTTATGACTAGGTGGCATAAGCCTGCAACTCACAGTGTATTTAAAGCGAACCCTTACTTGAATCGAATAAGCTTTATGCTCGAAAAGTCTCGAATTTTGATGATGATCGTTGAATTCCATACTGTCGCAGCTAAGGCTGAATTACAGTATGGGTCATTATTACACGACTCGGGTAGTCAGAGGGCCAATAACTAAAATCAACCAATCAAAAGGCTCTATTGCCGGTCAATATTCTCTAAGTATTGGACCGGGCACTGTCCCGAATGGTCCCGAATGATACCGCACTTGTGTCCCTTTGAACTTCAGCCGTATAATAAATCTCTTATTAACCAAGCTTGCTCGGGACCGTATTGAAAGAATATCGGCCCTCGGTCTTTTTTGTACGGACCGAGCTGCGCTCGGTCCGTACTGTCAAGACCTCGGGCCGATATTCTCCCAGTACGCCCTCGCGCTTGGTTAATAAGATATATGTATTACGTAGGTACTACATTAAATACACATCTCATTGATAACGAACAGCACAAAATTATTAAGTCTGTCTGTGGCCCCTCTAAACCGATCTACTCGAACATTACCGGCTCGCAAAGAATGACCATGATGCACCTCTGTGGTGCGAGAAAGGATGTAACTTCTAGGTTCAGCCCACCTCGCCCCAGGCATGAACCTGGAACACAGTTCAGCTCTGCGAACCACGAGGGGTTGCAGCCGAGCCTCACTAAGGCCAGTCCATAGTCAAGACGGGAGAAGATTATCCTAAGTGCTTTCCGTTGTACTGACTCGACGAGCTCATTAAGGTACTCTTCCTTTTGTTTCCTTTGACAGGTTTCTAGGAACGTTTCAATTTTTTTTCGCTTACTTTGCGAGACAATGGTTGCTTCTTGTGTTTTCCCGAGAAATTTTGAGCGGGAAATTGGCGCGCGGGCGCCCAAAATTGATCCCCTCGCACATGCCCTATGTTTAACCGCTGGGTTGTGGTACAAGCTCTGATCAACCGCTGTCCGCCAACCGCTTGTTGGTGGATTATTTTACAAATATCCTCCGAAGAAATTGTTCTGTATTAGTGTTCGATGTATACTTCTATAGAGCAACGCGTGCACAGACCAAGTGCTCTAAACAACTGCTTTATTAGAATACTAATGAACTAAATATACAATGATAAATACATAAATAATCACGTGACTGCGGTTAAGGTGTGTTAACCAATGGAATACAGATAACTAAGGTATCTATCCAATAGGAATAACACTACAGAAATTCACCTTGATGTCCAGTCCTCCTAGGTACAAATTGACCGAGCGGCGGCAGTTTGTGAGATTCTTACACAAAGGATCGGTAAAAACGTGAACAGAGAACAGATCGTCCTCACAATCATGAATCAGTTTGTACGTACAGCGACCCGGAAAGTAAATGAAGCGGCCGTCGAAAGTTTTGATATGGGACCGCCACGAGAAGCAAAGGTCTGGCTCATTCGTCGCACCGGGGAGAACTGATAGGAAAAAAAGGAAAAATGTTAGTAAAAGTTCAACGTTTGACAACGTTGAAAAATAACTCCAGAAACATTTGAAAAGATTAACATCATTACTATATATTGAACCCTCTTTAACTATAATCTGAAGTCTTTTTTCGTTGAAATGAAACATTTCTGTATTCTAAATCAGGGTTACTCATACACACATTTTATGTTTATTTAGATGTTGCCTAATAATATTTGGTCAATCGCTCTGTCAAAGTTGTCAATGTATTTTTTTTTTCGAGCATTCTCGATGACTTTATCCCTTAGGATTTTTTTTTCTTTCCATAAAACTTTAAACAATTTTACGTCTTAAAAACGTAGATGTCAAACCGTTTTACAATTTCTGAAAAAGTTTTTGTTTTCCTTTTGCTTTCACGAAAGCTTTTACATACCGTCACCTTTGTGATCACGTTGTAAAAACTTAGAGAACGTTACCCAACCTCCCGTGTGACCGAGCCTAGTCTCCTTTTATTTTACGCATAATTTTGAATCATGGAATCGCTCCTTATGCCTCCCCCCTGGGGCATGAATACTTACTAGCATCAGACAGGATAGTCTTCCATTTGACGTCTATGACGTCTGGAATAGAAATAAATAAAAAAATCAACTAAAAATCATTATATTTTAGCTCTCAAAGTGAAGCAGCAATTATTATCAATGATTTGCTGATATGGATAAAAATGAAAAAGTGTTTTTACAACAGCGAATTTCGGCTTTATAGAGCATCGCATCAGCATCGATCTGAGGGATAGGGGGTAATCAGATCCTTTAATACACTCATTTTTCTTTATGCCTTTGTGTCATCTTGTACAAATTTAAAATGTTTTACTCGAGAAACTTTTGAATGAATGTGACAGCGCACATATAGCAGGATAAACCTGTAATTAATATACACGGAAACATTACACGCGTCTGATTGGCAGAAAACGAGTGCATTTTCATGTACATAAGTGCAAAGTTGTAACACAAATACCGCGCGCGCTGTTAAAATTTCGTCTGTCTTTGCTTTTTATGTAAATTATTAATAATTATTATTAATGCTTCATTCTTGGTAAAATTCCTATCCTCAATCTTTTCTGACGGACATGCCTGTGCTTATTTTATATGGTCTCATAACAAAATGAAACCAACTGATTGATCACGAACGACTCTTAGTTCGCAAGCCAGCAGATAAGCTATGGAGAACTTGAACTACAGAGGAATCCCGATTTCTCGAATATCCAGGGGAAACGCAAATTGGTTCGAGAATTCGGGAGTTCGAGAAATCGGAGGTGAAATTACAAGTGAAGCAAATCCAAGGGAAACAAGGTTTGGTTCGAGATATCGGGAGGTTCGAGAAACCGAGTGTTCGAGAAAGCGGGATTCCACTGTAAATGCGAGATTTAGGACTCTCAGTAGGCTCTACTTACGCTTCAAAACACTGATTGTGCTACTACTCAAGTGACATTTGAACTCTCGACCGGTTATCTACAATCAACGGCTGGGCATGGGATACACCGAAACAAAAATCATAGTTGATAACGATTGCATGACTGCGACGAACCACTACAACCTTGTTCCCACGGCCTTTTCTCTTACTTGGGGTTGGGGTGATAAAAGGCCCCACCCTAAGTAAGGGAAAAGGCATGAGATTGGAGCTACCTATTTATTTGTAAATACATACCTTGGTCACATTGTACATTTGCTGGCCAGTCACACTGATTTATAGTGTAGTTGTACCTGAGGCCAGTCGGACAGTCTTTGTGATTTGTTAAGCCATCAGAACATGATATGTATCCGTGGCAATTGTTAGGATCTTTATAATCACCATCAGGCAAACCAGAACAGAACGATACTCCTGGAAATCCAATTCGAAATTAGAAAACCAATCAAGCTAAAATCAGTCAATGTTTTGATAGGAACCCACGATCGTGACGAATATTTGACACCATTATTCATTATTTCTTAATATTCATGACATGTATCTCCACAAAAGACGTGTTCGTTCTTGTTTATGATAGCAGTATGCAAAACATACCAGGACGTCCCTCAGAAAACTGGTAAATGGTCAAGATAGCCAAAAATCCTCTCTAGATGATCTAGTAGATTTCGTAAAGCTTTTGATCGCGAAATCGATTCTATGAGCCACACCTCTGAATTCCTCCTTTTTTTGTTTTTGTCTTCTTTTTATAGCAATCATGCAAAAACTTTTCATTCAATCTTACCTAATTGACACTGAGAGCCTGTAAAACCAGGAGCGCATGCGCACTTTTCAGGTGCGATGCAAGTGCCGTGGTTAGCACATCCATTAAAACACAGAGCTGACGAGAAAATGAGAATGGAGTGAGACTTCGTTAGTTTGTTCCTCCATTAGAAGAAATCATTCGAGAAAGAAGGAGTCAAACTTGAAATTCTATTTTTGAACGTTCTTTTCTTATAAACCTATCTATACGTATGATGCACGATCCTTCGCAGTAGATAGCGCTATTTATGCAATAGCGAAAATCAGACCTGAAAAAAATCAGGCCTGTACGGGATTCGAACCACTGACCTCTGCGATACTAGTGCAGCGCTCTACCAATCGAGCTAACAAGCCAACTGGGAGCAGGCCGTTAAGTTGATTCGTAATAAACCCATGATGATAAATCAGATATATGAACTTCATATATTCATTGTAACCAAACCTATCTATATTGACAATTATAATCATTCGTTCAAGGAGTTTCAGGGGTTGAATCTCAATTTGAACCGCCGGGGAGGTAGGTTGGGAGGTAACTGACATAAAAGTCACAATAAAGAATTTAGTTTTTTTTTTTCTTGGGCTGTTTTAGGGAGTGATGGAAGATCTTTGCCCATTTATTAAGTGCGTGTTAACACAAACCTGTTTCACAGCTGTCTCCATTCCAACCAGGTGTGCAAGAACAATTTCCAGCCAAACATGTTCCACCGTTGCTACATGTTGGATCACAGAAATCTAAAGCGAGAAGGAAGCGAGAGGGAAACTAGTCTGTCATTTATGGACAAGTAGCTACTTATGTCAATTCTCTCTTTAAATATAGCTTAGTATGCTGCATGATATTGTTTAAGATTTTAAATTGACTCATAAAAAAAAATCAATTGATTAAACTGACCTGTTTTGCATGTAGGCCCTGAGTAACCAGGCCGACAGTTGCACGTGTCGGGTGCCAAGCAGATACCACCATTTTCACACGGGCTCGAGCACAGTGCTATAAGGTCAATATAAGGTCAATATAAGTTATCCATGAAACGTAAGTAAAAAAAAAACCAACTATTTCTACACCTATACATCGTACGATCGTAGCATTTTTTCCCCTGACTTATTCTTGGGCGCTAGCTGAAGAACCAGAGGAGTGATAGGCGTCTAAGGCCTTGTCTACGAACAGGCTCCCGGCCTGGAGGAGCACAACGGTCCCCACGTCTGATTGAACGGGGAGCCTGTTGGCAGGCTATCTAAGACCAAAAACTAGAGAACAACATGTCAATAGAAAAATGAACGTTGGCTTAAATTCAAAGAAACAAAAAGACTTTGTATAAGAAATGCACGTGCAGGTTACGAGAAATTTTCAGTGAAAAATTCAGCGTTGTAAATAGGAAAAAATTGTAAAAAGAAATAAGAAAACAAACTGCTACTTCTTACCTTTGCTGCATCTCGGCCCAGTCCACCCGCTTAAACACGCGCATTGGTTGGGTTTTGAGCAGAAACCACCGTTCAAACAGGTTGGAACACAAACAGCTAAAACAGTGAGTTGATTAACTTTTCATCTATATCTGTCTGTTAGTTAAATCTTAACACGAAGATTTATGCTTCGTCCACAATTATATGGTCGAAAAGCGAAATGCCTTAGCTTATAAAGAATCATTCCACAGCACAGGAATTAACCACTTAAAGACATAAGGTTTTTCTGAAACTCAGTTCTCGTCCGCCAATCATGTCTCCACCCGATTCCAATGTTTAAAAAACAGTTTGCGGAGGATTTTCGTTTTTTGATGAAAAATCGTACTTTATCAAAAAGTAGACCAGGTACAACAAAGGGAAAAACTCTTTACTCCGATAAGAATGGACGGGGCTCCATTCCGCCACTTACCTTGTTCACAAGCCTCTCCGGTGTAACCAGACGGGCAGAAACAAAAACCGTCTGAACACAGGCCGTTATTGAGACAAGACGGTGAACAGGTCCCTATGGGAGGAAAAAAAAGACCCTGTTCAAGTAAAAAATAAGTGACCCTCATAGAACCCAAAAGTTGAAAAAGTCGGATCAGTCTCCGTATCTGAACTACTGTCCAGCTACCCCTCCCCTAACCATACAACAGTCAACCGTTGATAACAGGTTAGGGTTAATGTTGGGTTAGGGGAGGGGTAAGTGGGGAATTGTTCAGATATTGATTTTGATCCAATAAGTCTTGTCACAAGAGCTGTAGTTGTCATCATGACATCCAAGAAAATAAACTACACAATAAAATTGACCGATGAACCTTCTTTTTTTCTGGTCCCAGGGCAGCATTAGGAGATAAATGCACCTTTTTAATAAATAGTGCTTCATGCAAGGTACTTACTAGTACATTTGGTGGCATTCACCCCATCAGCTACCATACCGTCAGGACAAGCCAAACACGATATTTGACCACTCTGTGGTTGATAAGTATTTTCATCACAGCCTATACACCGCCCAGCATGTAGGTCATGATACGAACCAGCGGCACAGGGAACTATAGAGATAAGTAAGAATATGAGAGATAAAGCTTCAAAAAGAACAAAACAAAACAAAAACAAAAACCAAAAACACTGGTAGCTATCCTGCAAGAAGCTGCACCCGACACCTCCCTTCCCACTCGGACCCCCAAACCAAGAGGTTCCTCTCGGATTGTGGGTAACCTAAGCATGAGATGTAGCAATCGTCGAGAAGGAAACCGATATGCCACTTAGACTCTCGAAAGAATCAAGCATTTTAAAGGCTGGAATGTTGGGTTTTTTGAAAATGTTGGCGTGACCTGTCAACGCGTGACGTGTAAAGCCAAAGTCGAACTATTGAGAAGATAGCTCTATAGATTAAACCAACTTAATCGCTCACCACAAATGCCACTGCTCTCTACAAGTCCTTCATCGCAACAGAGCCCACGCGTGTTATAGGTCACAAAAACTGCTATAGCTGGGTGACCATTGAACTTTGGTGCAATGCGCTCAGGTATAGCTTTCAAATCCATGAAAATCCCAGAGTCTTTAACACAGTCTATGTCGATGCTTGAAAGAGAAGTGGATGAAGGAAGCTTAGATTGGAGATAGAAAACTGCAATGATGGATGTCACATTGATTCGGTTCCTGATATGAACGTCACGCAATCTCGCCGTCACGTCTGGACACGTGTGGAGCTCAGCTCTCGCTTCGCCGGCCACCTGTCTCATCTCGGCGATGGCCTGGTTTCGAGTGATGGTGACGTTATCGTATTCGATGGTTACATTGACTTCCAAGCACTTGATCTCTTTAAGGGTGTAAGCTTTCAAGGAAGAAAAAATAACTCATTAACAGAAGCCTCAGATTCATCCGTAAAGGCACAATCAGGCATTATCAAGGTCAATATTGATGATGTGAGTTTGGAGAATTTTTCCTTTAAAATACATCGGATCAATGTGAATATCTGGGCCCGGTTGTTCAAAAAGCGGATGACGCTATCCAATGGACAAATCACAATCCGGCGGATAAATCATTTTCCGGCAGATAAATGTTACCAAAACGTACTGTGCTATCCACCGGATAGAGATTTTATCCTGTAGATAGCGTTATCCACCCTTTGAATAACTGGGGCTAGATCAACTATGCACCCCCCTCCCATCACCCAGCATTGACTCAACTATGCACCCACCCCTCCCAGCCCCCCAGCATTGACCCAACTATGCACCCACCCCTCCCATCACCCAGCATTGACCCAACTATGCACCCACCCCTTCCATCCCCCAGCACTAACCCAACTATGCACCCACCCTCCCATTCCCCAGCATTGACCCAGCTTATGATCCCTTGACTGTGGTTGAGTTAGGGGAGGGGTGGGTGTGCAGTTGCTTAGATACCGGCATTAATCCAATACACCAGATCACGAACTGTTTGGGGGAACTATTTTTTAACCAATACCAAAACATCCGACTACTTATCTCATTATGACCTTACAAAATCAATGCATCAAGGTTAATCACTTGGATTATTAACAAAGTTCCCTCCCAACTTACTGAATGACTCTAGATCCGTAAACTGCCTCTTTTGACTCAACGAGTCAACTCCTACAAAATACAATTGAGCGTTAGTCCATCTAGATAACCCTTTTACTCCAAGAATTAAGTGATGAACATGTTAATTCTCCCTAATACAAATACATTATATCCTGCAAGCAAGTAAGAGAATTTCAAATTAATCATGTAGGAGTTGCTATCCTGATCGAACACCAAATTCTCGTAACAAACTCACAAGAAAATGTCAAGCAGCTAGAGGGGAGAATCAACAATTGGATCTTGGTAGTTATGTGATTAAGTCCTAAAGCATTTTCAGCTCAACGACTGAGAGTATTTATACGAACAAACAAGTTTCCTACATGACGTTGCAAAGAGGCTCTTCTTCAGAATTCCTTCCGATCAACAACTGAGGGAAGAGAAAACAGTTGATTATTAGAAGCAAAAACATACGTTGATTGCAGTTAATGCCTTTCCATCCATCACAACATCTCTGTACTTTCTGAAGAACTGTTTTGGTCAGGTCATGGACTGTTGGCTCAAACACGACTCTATAGAAAGAAACGAAAAATACTCCTGAAACAGTCCCACAACAGCAATCAAACATCGGGAATGCCGGCGTTAGGGGACTGGAAATTGCTCGCATTGATCCTGTGCATAAAAGAAATTGTATTCGTTCTAAGTTCGTAATTCTTGGACAATGTCAGCGATGGGGACGCAAAAAGCGGCAGAAGGTAGTCAAAACAAAGAATACAGAGACGGCTCTTGTGAGTTTATTGTGCTACAAACACCACTAGCTTTCTTTCCTGGCTCTTGAAGTAAACAAGTTATTCTTCATTCTTTTAATAAGGCGAAATCTTTTTTTTTTTCAATATCTTAAATCCTCTATTGACCGTATAACAAATATATGTTGGCCTCCCACACGCCAATTTCCGGTTTCGCAAATTAAGGGAACAAAATTAATTGAAACGTCCATAAGAAAACTCGAGACATTTCGAACACAAAACTTTAGTATTGAAGTGCGGGTTTCCTGTTGATTAGCTTTGCCAAAAGGGTGGTGCCCTCTTAAAAAAGCATGGTGACGTACTGGCTTGCGTGGTTGTTTTAACTCGTTTCAGACAATTTGGCTCTGACAGCCCGGAGCACGCCATCTAGTTATCGGCACACGCATTGACGTTTGACCGCTCTGCTGAGTGCCACAAGCCAGACCACGGAGGATCAAACAGAAACAGTGAAAGAGAGAAAGAGAGCTTACACCTAGCTAGCAATTAAATGTCCGCGCTTTTGATGCAACACTTTTTTTATTTTTTTAGCTTGTGAAATGGTTAATTTAGTATATTAAATGTTTAAGATTTCAACCTTCCTTGGACGAAGGAACCCATGCCTGTGAAAAATTTCATTAAGTAACCCTTAAAATTGCTACTGTAGCAACTTAAGCCCTCTCAAGGGGACAGGTCAAAGACGTAAAGTCCTTAAATACTTTATTAAGTCGCGTGCCAAAGACGTGTGCCTCGCTGACAAACAAAAACTTGGTTTTACCGATTTGTGATCTTAACCCTTTGTTGCAGCTGTCATCCATCGTGCTATATTAGTTACTTATTTTTTTTATTTCCAACCAAAGCCGACACTAAGCTATTTTAAAACGATTCGTTCTTTTTTTAGTCCGTCTAGCAGAACTGTGATTGCCGATAGCTATATACCAGGTCCAGATTGTTAATTGGATGCTTATGCGCGAATGCGTGCAATCGGAAAACCACACACTTTACTTTGTTGATATATCCAAATTATTTCGTTACTCCCACCGACGCAGCCCCAAACAGTTTCTTTCGAAACTATCAGCCTTTATTCATGTGTTTTTCGAGAAAAGCTTGCTGACTGATCGAATAACTGTTTCATTTAACTTGGAAGGTCAAGTGTACTGCCTGTGGAGGAGTTTTATTCGAAAGAAATGTTTTTAACTGGCTCACTTATTGCATGATGATTTGGGGAATTCTCTGCAAAAACATGTGGTTCTGTATTTAGATCCAACCAAATACTACCCACATTAAATTTGGCTGTTTGACTTCACTTGACCCCAGTTTAGAAGAATTCATGAATTCTAAAGTATTCACTTCCGATCCGACGTTACTAAAATAACAAAATCTGATTATTTTTGCGATGGCTGCATGTCCCGTTTTTTTAGATTTCCTTTAAGGCGCCTGAATATGACTGGTGGCAATGTAGTCAGTGCTGTTTTTTATGAAGAAAACAAACCTGCTTTACGAATCAACTTAACGAATCAACTTAACGGCCTGCTCCCAGTTGGCTTGTTAGCTCAATTGGTAGAGCGGTGCACTAGTATCGCAAAGGTCAGTGGTTCGAATCCCGTACAGGCCTGATATTCGCTATTGCATGGATAGCGCTTTCTACTGCGAGGATCGTGCATCATACGAAACCTGCTTTATTAACAAATAAGATTAACAACACTGGTTATATGACATGTATTTGCAAAATCTCTCATGAATGGGCTACCAGCAAGGGGGACGGGGGTGAGCGGTAATTGGGTCGACTTTCTGGGTGTGTGCAACTGTTCCTCAGAATCCTTGCCGCATCATGGTCTATTCTTAGGCCCATTAAATACCCCATCTCAGTCACTTTTGGGCTAAAATAGAAACTTTTGAACTGGAATCTTCCCCCAAATGCCCGAAAATGTGCGACCCATTCTAGAGACTCATTGAAAATGCATTCCTATTATGGCCAATCCAGTTGTGAAGATGTGACCCAAACCGGCGGCAAAGGAAGTACTCTTATAGACGAGAACGTTTCGTATCTCATGAATAATTACCTGTATTGAGTGCATCGTTGAGCGATTTCGCCTTGCCGGCAGGCCACTTGAAAACTCTTTATAGTTCTCCTTCTGAACTCTCGAGAAACGCGAATCTTGTGTGGTACATAGAAGGTGCAGAAATGCCCTTTTCTATTAGTTTCGTCAGACTTCGGAGTTGTTACAGCCAGTCTGTCCAGTTCATCTAGACTGTAAAATCAATGATCATGAAGATTTTCATGCGCTGTTCCAATGTACTAAAAATGCGTAACATATTTGAAACTTTGATCGGTATTCTGAGTTACCAAGCGAAGCATGAGGGTTCTCTTAGAGCTACCCATGAATTTTTCGTGGTTCAGGAAATACTACTGAAATAAGCAAGGCTGCAGGGTTGATATCGTAAATTCAAGGAGGGGTGGAAGGGAATGGGTGTTGTCAATTCCCAGAATTTATCTGTTTGCAATTTATCCACAGTTACATGAATAATGCTTTAAATTCATGGCTGACGGAATATTTTTTTCCTAAGCCCGTTGAATTTCGCGTACAAGCAACACCACTCTATTCTCGTGAAGGACCAGGAAAGGTCTAACTAAAAGAAATTCTCTGCAGTATTTCCCATGCAGAAAAAAAAAAAAACAAAACAAAACAAAACAAAAAAAACAGATCTATCTGGAACTTGTTTGCTAGACACACAGGAAGGTCTTCAGTGTGATTGAATGTGTCAGATGATCAGTTTTCTTTCGTAGTTGTTGTATTTATAGATAAAATACTTGCCCCCAAGACCCCACTTTTCCTTAACGAGATTAATGCATATGTTTTGTATCTGTGGCGATAAAAGTGTGTTTGTTCACTCTAAGCACTTGACACGACGCGTGCTTGCAGATGAACGGGCGATTTTCTCAGCTTATCACGAACAAAATCTTTTGACTTTTAACAAAAAGTTACATATAAGAAGGTTGTCCAAAAAAGAGAGAATCCCTGCATTCACTGACTCGGAACATTCTAAACCGCTTCTTTTGCTATATATTTTCGTAGTCTCTTGACGAAGTGAAGGTCGGCAAAAAAAGGGCTTAACTAATCAAGAAAAAAATTAACGTGATCAAAATCAGCTACAAGAAAAGTAAAATGCTGACTGGTAATTTGTTTGAAGTTAAAAGGCTTACTTAAGACGTGTTCTTGGAACTCGTCACGATTATATCTAAAAAAGTTTGTAACAGTTTTAACTTAGGGTGACTGTCGGTAGCTTTGCCGTCAACAGCTCATTATAAGGTAAATCACGAAATTGCTTCTGATACTTACAAACCCAAAATTTCTTTTTGCGATTGCGTTTCTCCATGACTTGTTCCAGCACGTCCAAGCACCAACACGATACCGTAAACCACAGGAAGAACATGGACAAACTTCATGGTCTGAAGTTGCATTCTAGGTAAGGCCACTTCGGAGAGGGACAGTTTAAAGAAGAACCAATTGAAACCTCAACAGATCTGAAATTGAACAAACTCTTCGGAGTTCTTAAAAGGTCGATCCAACCTTCGATACCTTGTTCTCTGCCAGTTGTTTTTTAAGCCGAGCCCTTTGTGGTAACCCTTCCAAGTACTTCCCGAGTTTTTCCACTGGTATTTCCTCTTTTAACAGTGGTGCACGAACAAATCGTCTGCCAATTTTTATGCTTCGTCCTGATTGGTCAAACCTCTGACCAATAGACGTAAACGCCTGGATAGTCTCAGTTTGGGTAGATTAACCTCCTGTTCTCTAAATAAGTTGTTTAGGATGACAAAAGATTCTGCTCTTCTTGTTTTGTTTCTGATACAATGAATATATGAAGTTCATATATTTTGAACTGCGGTTGTAGATACGTATGATGCACGATCCTCGCAGTAGAGAGCGCTATTTTATACAATAGCGAAAATCAGACCTGAAAAAAATCAGGCCGTTACGGGATTAGAACCACTGACCTCTGCGATACTAGTGCAGCGCTCTACCAATTGAGCTAACAATTGTTTTGTCTCTGTCTCACCCTGCAGCTGTTGGGATTTGTGTTCCAGGAAGTAAAAGGACATTCAAGGAAAAGTTAAAAAATATCTATATGTCTATGTATTGAGGTTACTAAATGAGGAAATCCATTTTCACTTCAGTTCTTGAAATTACGGGCAGTGAGATTATTTTAACTCTCTCCACTATCACATCATGAAAAAGATCACTCACCAACAGATTAGGAGCCAAACTTCATACAAAAAGTCTGCGCTAGGCAGACAGTAATCAGATTTCCCTGGCAACAGGAACAGTGTAGCATTAAATGTTGTTGCACGCAATCAGCCTTAATCAAATTTGTTTTTTTTTCATAGTGGAGCGTCTTTCGGACAGCTCTCTTTTCTCGTTCTCACAGGGGCGCACAGAGAGGGTGTTTTCCGCAGGATTTCTGCTCAGGAATATCGAATCCTAGACTAGAGCTAGGCTAGAATCCTGGACTAAATTCCTCCACTAAACGCCCAACACAAAACAGGACACTCTTTAATTTTTCATAATAGATGGATGCATAAGCCCCCCCCAACCCCCTCCCCCCCACCAGAGTCAGATAAATTATGCTGGCATCTAATCGAGCACAGTGCAGGAAAAATAATTTTAAAAACTTCTTTAATAGATACCCTTGATGAAATGAATTTTGTAGCCCGAGAAATACGAACAGTGAGCCTGTTTTCCTCGCTTTAGCCTTAAGAATTTGATCCAGTAAAATGCTGTGTTTTGAATTTCAGTGAGCCTTTATTCATGATGTCCTAACTGTTGGCTGTAGGGAAGCAGGGGAAGGGTTGAAGGATCTTTAACAGCTCTTATCTTCAGCATGATGCCATGTCTCAGGGATTACGTTCAAAAGAAAAAGTTTTCAAGCAAAATTCAACTGAACCTACTAACAAACACGATTCTAGGAATTTGAAACGAAGTTAGAACGATTGCTTTGTTGTCATGGATATTGTTACCGCGCACATGCTGTTAAACACGTATGGAACTTTACGTTTGTTTGCTTTTCTATGATTCATAGGAATAAACGGTGGATTCTACGCAATCTTCGCTACAGACCAAAAAGCTCTGCTCTTGCAGAACCACCACCCCAGGTCTTTTCAGAATCACCAGATCTCAAACAGTCAATGATCAACAATTACTGTCCTTTTCTTGTATTTTTAAATATTAGTTCTGCTAAAAGTGTTATCTCAAGATCGTGTTGCGCAAAAATTCTTGGCTTTAAGACGCACCCCAACTTGAGCACTAACTTTCCACCCGAAGACAGAATTTTCTTGAAAAAACCGTGCGCCTTATAACCGAAAAACTACTGTATATACAGGAAACAAACAAGAAACTCCTTATAAGCTTCTTTGTCCTTCCCGTCTCCATATGGAGATTTCTTAATAATAGTTGCACTTAAGAAGTCTTGGAAAAAGTTCAAATGCCTTTTTCAAGGGTCCCATACCAGTTAAGTCTCAATCGTATTTAAAAAAAAAAATTCTTACTCTTCGCAAGCTTTAAGACGGAAACAATTAAAATCATGATTGATACTCAAAATCAAGATGTTCAAACTTCAATTTATTCAAGTTGAAATGTTGTAAAAAAACAGCACACGGCAAGTGTATCAACCCATAGTACATTTACAAGTCTGAAAAGAAAAGAGCTGTTTACTGCACTTCCTCAGCCAGTCTCTCTGCCTTTGCTACAGCCTCACTGATGTCCCCTACCATGTAGAATGCAACTTCAGGTAGATGATCATATTCCCCTGGCAAAACAGGAAGTCGTGTAAGCAAAAATATTCAAACCTTTATGGCTAAGAACAGAAAGGAAAAGATTAAAAACTGAATACAAAAAAAGATAGAACTAGAAAAGTCTGGCAATAATTTCCTCTTCCCTCAAGACAATATGTTCCTTTCCACATATGCACTGTGTAAGGACAATATATTTAAGAATAACATATTTAGATTTTTGAATTCATGAAGTTCAACCTACCATGGAGGATTTTCTTAAATCCTGAGATAGTGTCCTGACAACAACAAAAAAGAATTCAGAAAATACTGCAGAAATACATGTAATCTACTTGTATCATGGTGTAAACACACCACTACAATTCTTAAAAAAATTCTGCACAAAACAATTCCTTTCTTAAAACTTCACTGGCCTCAACTAATGCACAACTGCCATCACTAGTCTCCACAGACAGATATCACTTTTCTTGATGCATAGTGAAGGGATAGTCAATATCATTATTGTTGTACCGGTAACGGAACAAGCTTGCCATCGTGGCCCGTGAAAACCTCAGCAACTTGGAAAGGCTGTGAAAGGAATCTCTGGATCTTTCTTGCACGAGCCACAGTCAGTTTGTCATCTTCAGACAACTCATCCATGCCCAAGATAGCAATGATATCTTGGAGAGATTTGTGATCCTACAAAAACAAAATAAACAATCAAACATGACGAACAGTTAACTACGCCTCCTGGTTAGCTGAATTAGTAGAGCGCTGGACTGTTGTGCAGGAAGTCAAGGGTTCAAGCCCCAGCCAGAGCAACACTCAAGGTCTTAAAATAATCGAGGAGAATGTGCTACCTTTCTTTAGAATATTAAGAAATGGATACATATTCTAGTCTTCTCGGATAAGGACGAATAAACCGTAGGCCCCATCTCCTGCAGGGTTAGGAGACGTTAATTTCCCACGCACGAGACTGCTATGTGATGGATGTCCTTCCCTGGGATGAGATGGGTGGGTATATCTGCTGAGATGGGCTGTATTGCCCTTTGCAGACTAAAACATAGATAGATAGATATACACAACTACCACAACGGAAACGATATAAATTAGGTCCAATCTTCCACAGAAAAAAAAACTGTTATCTTGACCATAGGGGAAAACGTTTGTTTTACTTGCAAAATCTTCTGCACTCCTCTAGCTACTTCATAGTGCTCTTGCCCAACAACATTGGGATCCATGATACGAGATGTTGAATCCAGAGGGTCCACAGCTGGGTAAATTCCTAGCTCAGCAATGCCTCGAGAAAGCACAGTGGTGGCATCCAAGTGAGCAAATGTGGTGGCTGGGGCAGGATCTGTCAAGTCATCAGCTGGCACATAGATAGCCTGCCAAGAAACAGACAGCCTTTAACCACAAGGACAAGATTTTCTCTTCCATTTAAAATCAGAGTAACAGTGAGCCATTGAACTCAGAAAATTATCTATGTAGAGCTGAGATGTCTTGTTCACTACACTTATATATGTAAATGTTTTTGCATTTTTAAACTTTTTGTTCAGAATATTCATGTCTACTCCCTCAAAGCACTCATTGGAAGCACTCCTCTCCTATTTCAGTTCGGGGTTTTATTCATTCTGGAGTAAAATTCATTGCGTTTGTGTTTCACAGCAGCACTTTCAGCCATTTTCTGAGTTAAAGATTAGCATTTGAATAAAAAAGGTCTTGCCAATGGCTAAAAAATTAATTTATTTCACCTGTACAGATGTGATAGAGCCCTTTCTTGTGGTGGTAATTCTCTCTTGCATAGTACCCATATCCGTGGCTAGAGTTGGCTGGTATCCTACAGCTGATGGAATACGTCCCAGCAGAGCAGACACCTGCCGAACAAATACAAGAAAACTTTGTTTGGCTTTCAATTTCACAATCAATATAAAAAGCTTCCTGAGAAATACATCTTTTTAAGTACTTCCTGTGGTAAGTTGAAGCCAAACCTATCTCTGCCTTATCATCAGCTCAAAAGAAACATCCTTCCTGGGAGAAGAAATCTTCTCAAGTATTTCCTGTGGTAGGTTCAAGTCAAACTTATTTCTGTCTTATCTTAAGCTCAAGGCAAGCATCCTCAAGTGTCTTTGAATAAAGCTTAATTGAAGCAAGGATTCAATTAGAGGATTTGTCAACAAAAAAATTACTCAACCAAGTTACTCTTTTACCTTAGGGGCTACTTTACAAAACCAGTGCCCTTTAATCATAGATAATAATGTGCTCCATCTCTCTTACACACACCTCTGAACCAGCTTGAGTGAAACGGAAGATGTTGTCGATAAAAAGCAGCACATCCTGTCCTTCCTCATCACGGAAGTACTCAGCTACAGTCAGGCCAGTCAATGCTACTCGGGCACGGGCACCCGGAGGCTCGTTCATCTGACCATACACCAGAGCTACCTAATAACACACCACAATTAACACACATTTACAAAATTTGCAATTTTTAACAACCACCACTGCAGTGCAATACACCAAATACACCCTTGTCTTAACTGTTGATGACAGTGTGACCTTTGGGGTTTAAGGTGGCTTTCACAATGACTGCAATTTGACTTCAGGCTTCCAGTGAATACCAGCTTATATTCTTGAAGACATTTTATTGTGCTTGTCCTGTGCAAGACTATGTCCATTAGCTATTACATAGCTCTTGTAGTTGATGCGCCACATGTTTAAAGCAAATGCATTCTGCAAAGTTATAAGGGCAAACAAGAGAACTCAAGGTGTCCTGAATTCTTTTTTGTCACTTACATACAAAAAGACAAAAGGTTTGTTTTGTGCATTTTATCAATCTTATATCATTTACACATTCCTTTCAGGAAACACGCAAGCATTTATTTGCATATGAAAGGTCAAGTGCAACGACCCAGGAGATAAAATTTTTGTTTTCTTGTTTCAATTGGATTCAATGGCTGGTTCTTTTTCTAAAAAAAATCAAATACAGTTACGATGTTTTCTATGCTTTCCATTTTTAAACCATTCATTAAATACTTTGCCTGACATAATTCTGAATGTGAATAAACGACAAGAGTAGAATGCTGCCATAAAAAATACTTATCAGTGAACACACACGTCTCAATAATTTTATTAAGCCGACATTTTTTTGGTTTTCAAAGCTTAAATATTCTGAACAAGTGAAAGAAACTCGAAAGAAACTCTGTTCCAATTTTACTTTCATTCAAGATAAAGCTAAGAAAAGCATTCAAAAACATTAACATATCAACAATTTTATATAAGAAAATCTGCTTCAGCCTTTAAAAGTGCTGAGAATTTTATCAGTGGAATCCTACTGTCTGGAATCTTTGATATTTCGAAACTACTGATAACTCAGACTGAAAGTAATTTTCACCCCTCAGTCCAGAGCTGAAATTTTACAATTTCCCAAACTTCCCGATTTTTCCAACTGATCTTTGTTTTCCTGATTATGGCTCTGACTGAGTTTTCATAACCTTCAAAAACGTTGTCAGTTTCCCTCTTGATGCATTTCAAAATTTGAGTTAACTTCTAACTGTAAGAAGAAAGGAGGCACTAAAAACAACAGTGTTGTTTTCATGCAGCTACAGCTGTGTATTAGATTAATCAAACTCTCAAAGAGAACAGAGTGTAAAATTATTTTTTTTTCCAGTAGCCACTTGGCTCCAAAATATTTTAAAGTGGTAGCCAATTCCAAAAAGTTGATGGCCATAAAGACACACACACAAAAATTTTTTACCCTGTCACTGTACTAGATAGATTAAATTGCTCATGAATCATAGTGATACAGTCATACAAACATAAAAAATTACCCTGGCTCCAGCTCATGGGACAAACTCACTAACTCAAACATATTTATCCACATTCAATACCTTGCCATTACAATGTTGAAAATAGAAATTAAGTAACAACTAGGTCAACAATCATTTCTCCAACAAATGGAGAGAAAGTTTTCTTACAAATAAAGACTAGAGTCGCTCTTTTATGCTTCATTTGCTACTAATGATTGTTCTGTATGAAGAAAGCCTCTAATATCAAGAAGGCAACAAATGAAGGTCTACAACATGAACTTGACAGCCTGCATGGTCTACTGACTGTAATTATTACAAGTTCGTGCAACCATCACAGTGTAATCAAGATTAAATAATATTTTAAAAATGCCCCTGTTGTAAAATTAACACGAAAGAACATCATCTAACTATCCTAATTTTATAGACAAGGAAAAACATTGTTTTACAAAAGAGTTAGTGAAATTCATATGAGGCCTCAGTTTTTTAAAGTCGCAAGAAGCTTTCTATCTCAGGCATTAAATAGATTTAGAACCCCGTTTACGGCAATTGGCAAAATTTAATTTTGCTGCCTTTTCTTCTAATCCCTAAAAACAGAAGTGTACAAAAAAATTTCCCATTCAAAAAGATCACTTCGATCACTTTCCATGCTTCAATTAATTTCCTTGCTCATTTTAAATTCAAATGAGCTCACGCAGCAGACATATGTTGTCAAATGCGACGAAAAATGAGCCCGCTAAATTCACACTAGCTACAAAGGACACTAGAATGGATCAAATACAACATGAAAGGTTACCTAAATCCAAGATGGCATCTGGCGATGATAGATTTACGTTCAACATTGTGCATGTGCTGCGTCTTGGAAATGAGCTTAACGAGGAACTTTGCTGTAGATTTATCACTAGATCTCTAGGTAAGGTGTGAGTAGAAATTCTAGTCGCCAGTTTGGGGACTAATTTTCAGGATTTGGTCACCAAAGTGAAAAATTTAGTTGCATTTGCACCTGTATTAGGTACAATTTTACACCCTGGAGTACTATTTTTTCCCTTTAATTTTCTTGAAAGAAAATGTGCTCCTGGGAGACTTAAGTTTTACAAATTTCCTGGGGGAGCATTCCCCAGGACCCCTTAGAGGTTCTACTTCAAAAGTTAATGAAAACCATGCCAGAAGCACTTCTGCACCATTCAAAGGACCATTTATGTAGCTTTCTACAAAATGCATTTGCAGCTTACTTTGCAGTGAACAGTGTTGACAACAAAATATTTCACAATATGTTCCTTGAAATAATCTTTCAATCTATACCTTGGAACTCTTGTCCTTCAAGCTGATGACACCGGACACGATCATTTCATGATACAAGTCATTTCCTTCACGTGTTCTTTCTCCCACACCAGCAAACACAGAGTAACCACCATGGGCTTTAGCAACGTTGTTAATTAACTCCATGATAAGCACAGTTTTTCCAACACCAGCTCCTCCAAACAGACCTTAAGAATTTGTAATTAAAAAAATAATAATAAGTACATAATTTTTTGCCAAGTCAATCACAAGTCGGTCAGGAGACTTTGTAAAATAAAAAAAAAAGTCTGCTGGTATGAAGCCACCAAAAATTTACTACAATTTGGGTGAACAAAAAAGTATATGTAAATAAGCAAAACAATGGCTATGAAGACACATCCTAAACATTACTACATTTTCTTGACTTTAACTACAAAAAGACAAGGCAAAAGCGCCCTAAACAATCACAAATTGATCATACCAATCTTTCCACCCTTAGCATATGGTGCAAGAAGATCCACTACTTTGATTCCTGTTACTAGAATCTCTTGTTCTGTACTCATTTCCACAAATTCAGGTGCTTCTGCATGAATGGCAGCACGTCTGAAAATAGTCATGGATGAGAAATATAATTCTCTTTGCTGTGAGAGCGTGAAATAAGGCCTAACACACCTTAAGATTTTCTACATATCGATTAGAACATTTAATTTCTTTATTGAGCTCAAAACTTTTCATCTCTTTAATTCTATTTAATTTCTTCTTTGTTTTTTTTCTTTTCAATGAACCCTTCACACCCTAACATCAGTATGCATATTCTCCATACTGTTCTCTATACAGTTCCTAAGGTGTTGACAAGGAGAATTTGTTTATCAATCAACTCTCTTAAATTGGTGATCATTTCTGTTATACCAGTATTCATGATTTTAATGAATGATTCAGCAGTATTGCTGCGAGGAGGAATTAGATGCTGGTCACTCTTAGCAGGGATTTCATTGGAAGCTGGCAACCAGCAAATTCTGGCGGCTATTCTCCACAACAAAGCCAGCTGCTATGGCCATTCCACTTCCTGGTTTTTGTGTGTTTTTTGGGAAACATTCAATGCATTCTTAAGGCAGTCATCAATAAAAGGTGTTTTTGTTGATGTTTTTTCTCCTTTTTGGTTGTTGGGTGATTTTTGTAACAATTTCTAACTTGATTTCTGATTCAATCAACAACACAATCAGTGTGCTGGGCACCATGTTGAATAGACAGAAGAGAAATACTGGTGACAAATCTGCATGGATTACTGCTGAACTGTCTTCAACTTACATACATCCCAATATATGCCTACTTCCAAAATTAATGAAACCCCTGTCCTAGCTTTAAAAAGTTAAGAGCAAATTATTTTTAAGCACACATTTGAAGGAAAAACAGATATGCTGACTGCACTACAACATGTATGTGATGTCACTTCTATAAAACACTTCATTCTTGATAATGACTGGAACTCAGTTTTTCTATCTCCAAATAACCAATGTAATTACTTACTTGTCAGTATCAACAGGTCCCCTTTCATCGATAGGCTCTCCAATGACATTGATAATTCTTCCTAGTGTTTCTGGACCTACAGGGATTGTTATTGGCCCACCAGTATCCTTACATATTTGGCCTCTAACAAGACCCTCTGTACCATCCATAGCAATGGTTCGCACAGTGTTTTCACCTAAAGAAGTTCAGTCAATGAGTTAGTGGAGCCATCCCCACAAAAAGCTTTTTTTCCATGGCCAGACTTACCACTACCACCAATCTCAACAGTTAACTAAATTCTGTTCCTAAATTTTGTGTTGGAAGGGATGATCAAAACTCAAGTTAGTATGCAGAATGTTTGTGCACAACTCTTGCTGGTATGTATGTCACATTAGAAATGTTGAGTTATGGTGGAAGATAGTAAGGAATGTCACACATCTAGGCATTTTCTCAATTGAGGCTCCATCAATCTTTTTTTTTACTTTCTCTTCCTTAGTTTTTTCCTGAGCTACAAATGACCTACTTTCACGACAGGAAGATTACTTTGCAAATTCTAGTGCACTGGGATAATAAAAACACTTGCAAGTCATAGTACACTTGTGGTAAAATATGCTGCTTTCAAAATTCATATTATTTTAGGGGGGAAAATGATTCATAAACTGATTGTTGACTATAGTCACAGGAAAAAACCATAATAGACTGGACAGAATTTTTTTCCCTCCAAGGGAAGCTTAGATAATGATTTCTGGTCACAAAAATTTTAACATCTCATAAATTTTGCTGTCACAGAAAAATGGTGAACTTTCAAAAGCGATACAAATTGAAATAACAGGCGTGGAAGGGGGGAGCAATTCCTGTCCTGTGGAAGATTGCAGAGTACAAGGGGTGTTTCCAAATCATAGGTGTTTGAAACTTTCCGGATAATGATAAAATAAGCAAACAACAAAAATAATTTTAACTGGCTAAAGGAATCCCTACCTAAATGTTGTGCGACTTCTAGGATGAGTCTCGGTGATCTACCTTCGACCTCCAAGGAGTTCAAAATGGGAGGGAGGGCCTCGTCAAATTGTACATCAACAACGGCACCAATAACAGCGATGATTTTACCAACTGCTCCTGGTGCGGCGGCCGGAGCTGCTGAGCCTGCTTTAGGTGCAGCAGCCGATGCAGCAGCCGCAGCGGACACGGGCTTATCGGTTGAAACATAACGACGATTATCTGGAGGAGGCAAGTTGAACATCACTCTTACCACATAAGCTGACACAATATCATCATGCAAGTCCACAAAGAATAGAAAGGAAGCACATAAAATTAACATCGAAAACGGTTAGAGACGTGAAAGTTAAGTCGGGTTACTGTTTAATGTTAGCCTGAAAGTAGGAAGTTATCATCGCTAAACATGAAGTACAAAGTCAGTCAAGTAATCAACGTGTCTTCATACGGGCGCCGTCCAGAGAATTCACTTCTTAAACAGAGTAAAACATGAATTTTCGTAATTTATGTACTTACATAGTTGCGAACATACTGGAAGTGTTCTCTGTTGAGTTTGTCTCAGAGTGCGAGAAACAAAGTTAGGTCTAAGAGCGGTTCTTGACGCACGCCGTAAACCGTGGACCAACATGGCGGCTGTGAAAAATGGTGAACGAAGCACCGGTGACCATGTGACCTAAGATCGTTTTGGCGAACCTTTCCGAAATTTTACGGATATTTTCCGATCGTGGTCGCCGTAAAATATGTAGCGAACAAGCACAGCATGACATGCACACGTGATTGAATCATGATATCAACAGCAGATTTCGATTTCATCCAATAGAATTCGACATAAACACACGCGCGTCCGTCTTCTGTAATCAGCCGTATTCCAACATGTAGTTCACGAATTTTATTTCTCTCGCGACCTGGGAGGTAGTTTCTTTGCGTTGCAAAGTTCTTTTGAGTTTATCTTCGTAGGAAACTATAGGAAGAAGCGAGTTTCTTTCGGAAAGGTGATTTTCTCTTTCGTTTGAAATCAACCGGGTGGGTTTCTTTTAAACCCTTCAAAATTTGGCGGGAAGGAATTAGGCTAGTGTGCGAAAAACGTGGTCTTAGTTGGTTTACAATGCTCCTCGCGAAAAATATTGGCATGAAGTTAAGAGGGTGATAAAATCAATATCATGTTAAGACTGAAAGACCTTGTGATTTTTGTGTTTCAAACTGTCTTGCTCAGCACTATATGTATTGTCCCTATAGTTGGTTTTATCCCATCGTTCGAATCAGATTTTCACGGAATAAATGCCTTGTTCAAGTTTGTATTGTAAATGTTAGCTTTAGTACAATATATATTAGGGTTTCTTAGTTTTTACATTAACACTTTTCTTGCTGTCTCGTTTAATAGATGTGGATTGGGTGATCTACAAAACCTGCGTAGCGGCGAAAGGAACAGGAAGTCCAGAAACATGTTTTGATTTGGACGTGAAAATTTTTCCGACTTGCTCCATCAGATGACATATGATTCAAAGATCAAGCAAGCAAAGAGAAAACTTTTTCGATGAATAGAGTTGAATTCAAGTTTTTAAGGAGGACTACGTGGACATGCATGACTCAGCTTACTGAGTACTCTATTTATTGCCATGGAGGCATGCTGATTTGATCGCATCCCAGGAACTTAATTTTGTCCTCACGTAAATTGACCTGGGTGTCTTTTTTCTAGTAGTACATAGTATGGGTTACAAATTACCAACTCGTTATTTTGCGTTGTGTTCTTTTATGATTCTGATGTTTTGGATGTTATTAAACGCGGTTTCCCTCTTGTATTTGGGATCGAACGATAAATATTTTACCAGAGGGCACGGTAGACATCTTCAAAACGACAGCCCATCGGATGATTTCGAGAGAGAGATGGCGCAAGAGAAGGATCCTAACACGTTGGGTTTAATTAGAAATAAGGAGGACCAGACAATAAGGGAACATGGATACGAAAAACACGCCTTTAATGAACTTGTGAGCAACAGATTGGGTTTTTACCGTGAAATACAGGATACAAGACACGAACTGTGAGTAACTGATTTTAATGTATTTTACTATTGACCCAATTATGCTATTTGCTGCAGAACTCTTTAATCTTAAAAACCGTTGATTACGATGACTGCTCCTCCCCACCCCCGTATGAGAGAGGTCTGATGCATGAGTTCTATGACCTAAGCAAACCTATGATAGGGTAACACTATGTTTGTTTTGATTCATATTTTACATCACAGCATTACAGGTGATTACAAGAAATCCTGTCAGTGGGGGAGGGGGGAGGCTGTGGTGGGAGGGATGCACAAGGTTTTGTCAATGTCAATCAAGTTGAAATGATCTTTTGACTATGTTGTTTCATGTTGCACTCTCAGTGCTACTTTGAGAATTGTAAATCTTGTGGCTCCTTCTTTCAATTCCTCAACTTTTTTTTATTGAAAAGCAATTTTCTAATTTATATTGCACCTCAAATTTTCTTAAAGTAATTTCTATAGAAATTATCCCTTTTTTTCTTTCTTTTTTTTTATTTTTACACTCACCATTCCAATTGGCCATTTCCAATTGATACTTTAGCTGAGTAAGTTTGGAAAAGCTGGAATGTAAAGAGAAAGTTGAGTCATTTATCTCTGGCTGATTATTTATTATACAAAGAAGTTATTATATAATTTTCTCAGGGGAACACATATCTGAAGCACCCAGTGAAAACAAGGTCCTGCAAGCTTTGTGTAAAGTATCCATGTGATTACTTTAAACCCCAGATATACTGCAGTCAATTTACCAAATTAAATTAAGTGTATAAGTACTTATAATAATGATTATTCTTCTTTGTTTTATTGCAGGTGTAAATCAATCAGATACTCTTCAAATCTTCCATCAGCCAGCATTATCATCTGCTTTCACAATGAAGCGTGGTCAACATTATTGAGAACTGTACATAGTGTCTTGAACAGGACAGCAGAAAACCTAGTTCATGAAATAATCCTGGTTGATGACCAGAGCAACTTAGAAGAATTAAAAGATGAGCTTGAAAATTATGTAGAAAAATTACCAAAAGTTAAACTATTGAGGACAGTTCAACGCGAGGGTCTCATTAGAGGGCGTACGCTTGGAGCAAAGAGTGCAACAGGTGAAGTGCTAGTATTCTTGGACAGTCACTGTGAGGTGAATAAAGATTGGCTTCCACCGCTTCTGGAAAGGATCAAAGAAAATCGCACGACAGTTGTTTGTCCAGTGATTGACATGATCAACTCAGACACATTTGACTACCAGTCCTCTCCTTTGGTACGTGGAGGTTTTAATTGGGGTCTTCATTTTTCATGGGAACCTTTACCAAAGCATTTGCTTGTGAAGCCAGAAGATTATGTTCTACCCATCAGGTGAGGAAAAGTAGATTTGACTTTTAGAGTTGGTTTCCAGGGTTAAACATTATTGTGTGTGGGCAATTGGACTTTTGACTCCCATGAACTCCTGTAGGTGTAAATTTTTTAGTTCTTTGACTCCCAGAAGTGATTGTCTTGTAACTTCTCAATATGACATCCATACATTATCCAGCAAACAGGTAATGAGAATACTCAAACTTATCAGGTAGAAGCTGTTAATTATCTTGATCTAACACCAAATTCTCCTATTTAATTCACAAAGAAACGTGTAGGAGCTAGAGGGGAGAATTAACAAAAAGATCTTGTGATGTGTATAGGGTTAATCAGTCTGCACCCCCCACCCTTTTCTTTACATAGTTTTCCATCAGATCTGCACAGAACTACACTTTAGGGTAGAATTTGTCACATGCTGTTCCAGTGTTATGATACAGACCATGTTGTTGCTTAAGAGTAAAAGATTAGCGGTTGCATAGTTTTTATCACCAATTTCGTGTTTCCTGCAAGTAGTTAATTAAGTCAGATCACAAACCGCCTAACCGTGATTGCAGGTCTCAGCTCATACTTCTGAAGGAATTAAATTCTATGGAACAAATATTTGGAGCTGAAACTCTTTTTACAACTATCAATCAAATAGCAACTATTATAACTTGTCCATCTGACTTTCCTGCACTTCATAGTTGCAAATTGACTTTACTTTGAGTTTTTGTTGGCTCTTAGTGGTAGTTCCTTTTGTTTTTGATCAAGTATTGTAATTACTGTTTGTTTTGGTTTAATGAAATCCTGAGGAAGTCCTTTTTATTAATTTTACTTAACCTTAAATCTAGACCTTATAAAACATTGCCAATTTTGCCTTTGTCAACAGATCACCTACCATGGCTGGGGGATTGTTTGCCATGGATCGTAATTATTTCAGTCAGCTCGGTCAATATGATGAAGGAATGAACATCTGGGGAGGTGAAAACCTGGAGATTTCATTTAGGGTAAGTTAGCCAAGTATGGGTCTGAAACGTTGGGTCGATGAATTGTAATTTCTGTTTCAGTCTTTAAATCTTTAAACCAGAATAGCATCAAACCATGTCTGATTGTCCACCTGGTTACTGTGTGAACTTAAACAAACCAAGTATCTCATACATGTGATTGCAACAGAAATTCCGGTAGCTGTACAAACCAGGATTGATCATTCTCTTACATGTACCTTTATCACTTAACAGTGACCAGCATCTGATTTCTCCTTACAACATCACCCCTGAATCACACATTAAGGTCATGAGAATAAAGGAAATGATCACCGACTAAAGAAGCCCTTGATTGTTAAACAAATTCTTCTTGTCTGCACCTTAGGAAATGTATAGAGAACAGTATGGGGAATGTACGTACTGATGTGAGGGTGTAAAATGTTTTAAATATAATTTTATTTCCTCAAATTAGCACCCAGGCACTTTTTCAGCTAAAAGGAGAGGTGATTATATTAATTATTGTTAAAAGGGGGCTTAATTGAGGGAGCTCTAACTTGCTATTTAAAAGAAATTACAAACCTGAACTGATCGATTCATTAATATTTAGATCTGGATGTGTGGTGGTTCTCTTGAGATCATCCCGTGCTCTAGAGTTGGACACATATTCCGTAGATGGCGGCCGTATGGATCAGATTCAAAAGGAGACACCATGTCCTACAACTCAATGAGAGTTGCAGAAGTGTGGCTTGATGACTACAAGAAGTATTTTTATCAAATCAAGAAAGGTCTTGTGGGTGAACCCTTTGGAGATGTTACTTCAAGAACTGAGCTAAGAAAGAGGTTGAACTGCAAAACTTTCAAGTGGTACTTGAAGAACATTTACCCTGAGATAAATCTTCCCCAAGAAGGTGGCAGTGTTAAAAGTAACATGTGGAACCCTCATGGGTTGCAAAAAGAGAAAGTGATTGTGAAGAAAGGAAATGTAAGTTAACAATCAGTTTTGTCAACCTTTCTACTTCCATAAGATCATAAAAAATTTAACTTTCCCTGACAATTTCAGATCAATGTCGGTATCTGAGTGTTTACCCCACCCTTAATCTAACATTATCCTAACTTGTTATTAGTTGACTGCTGTTGGATTAAAAGTTCCATCTGCTAGCACACAAAATTTGAGAGCAGGATTGCATCACATTTTGGTGTACAAAATTGCCATAAGTTGCATAATTTTGTCATTACTTTATGGGGGGAAAACAGCCATCTAGGTGTATTAAGAACCTTTTTGATATTTTGGAGAAAGCAAAGCACGATACAACTTTTCGATGTAATTTTTGAAAAAGGTTCATCATAAAGGTCCTTTAAGAAAAATAAAATGAATTGCAACAGTCGGTGGATTCTCAATATTTATGGTTAGGGGCTCTTAATTATAATCAGGATGTTTGTATGATGGGGTTATAAATAAATAATTATAAAATAAAGGTCTTTATTAAGAATTATTGTGCAAACAGACATGCAACAATTAACATGAATAGAATGAATCAGGAAAAAGAAAAGGTATTAATTACTATTGAAAAGACATCTATTAATAAAAATAATCTGATTTAAAACGGCTTGTCTGAACCTTAGGTAAAATATAATTATGGGACCTAGTTCTCAACTGCTGTGTTCTCTGGGGAGGTAAGAGATCGCTCAATGCAGTGTTGGTGGAAGAGATCCTTTGCCATAATTTCTTATCTCTGTTACAACGGATATCCAAGATACTGTGCTGCTTTAAGCAGTAACCCAGCTCATAACATCTGGCAAAGAGCTTATCAATTCTACTTAAATATTTACTATGAAAGGCACACCCCCAGACCTCAATAGCATATGTAAAAACTGAAAGAATCAAACTTTGAAAAAGTAAGTCCAAATTCTCAATAGCGTAGCCATAATATTTACATATTCTTAAAATATACAACCTACTGCTAGCCTTACGGAGTAGATAATCAATATGAGTGTCCCAATTAACTGGCACTTGCTCAAAGGTAACACCCAATAGTTTCAGTTTTTCTTTCCTCCCTATGATCTCGAGTGGTTCAGGAGGCGTCTTGGAAGTCTTTCCTCGTTAAAGAATTCCCATGTTTTCTTCAAGTTGACTTTCAAGCAGTTCTTCTTGGACCATTCAGTAAAGGATAGGTTTGACTGCTTCTGCATGAGGCCACATTTCCTGTCTTTTCATGAATAAAATTACCTAGTAAGAAACAGGCTAAAAGTAGCCTTTACTTTTAGACACTTATTGTTACAGCACTTTGTTTTATCTCACAGCTTCAAAATGTTGGTAACTCTTTGTGTCTTGACATTCCTGGTCGGTCAAGTGAAAAGCGAGCCACTGTTTTGCTACGCGATTGCCAAGAGATTCATGCAATGGTTAGTCAAACTAAGTGATACATTCTGCCATGCTTGAGGACACCACTGTCTTATGGATAGCACACTGGACCTCTGATCAAGAGGTCAGGGTCATTGTGTTGTATTTTTGGGCGTGACACTAAATATTCTCTCAGGGCCCCTCTCCCCATAAATGGGTTTTGGTGAATTTCTAAGAAAATTTGAAAAAACACCATGGCATAATCTACCATGGACCAGTGTCCCATCTAGGAGAAGTAGATATACCCCAAGGTTCTCAATAAGTCAGGGAGCTAGTAGATGGCCAGCTGCACGGAGTTGGTGGGTGACAATTTGAGAGCTCCTTTCCAAGGCCTCAGGGCATGATCTCCTACAAAATATTACTTTTGAAATGCAGAGGCACTGAAATGCTATTTTATGTATTTGTTTGGAACCGGAGTTGAAAATCCAAGGCCAGGGACCTATTCCAAGTCGCTCAAAGAGGGGGTGCCACTATCTAACAGACAAATCGCAATCCCGAGGATAAGTGTTGACAAAATGTGCTGTGCTTATCACTGGATAGAGCGTTATCCAGTGGATAACCGTAGGCCCAGTCTCCTGCAGGGTTAGGGGTAGGAGACGGTAATTTCCCACGCATGAGGTTACAGTGTGGTGGATGTCCTTCCCTGGGTTGGGATGGGTGGGGAAGATTTCTGCACTGATGAAAATGTATATTGATATTAGCGCAATATAAGTTAATAAATATTAAATTAAAAAAATGAGTGTTATCCACCCCTGAAACAATTATTGGAATTTTTAGGTACTATAAATCCTCTATTAAGCCCCCCCCCTCTTTAAAGGAAGAAATTTAGTAACCCCTTCTATTAAGCCCCCCACCCCTCCCCTCAAGAACAAAAATTCAAAATAACACTCCATGTCAGTAAGTACAATAAGTTTATCCAAGTACTGTAATTTTAGTTTGTCATTTAAAATTGATTATGGTGATTGATTGATGTTATCATGTGGGCATCAAAAGCATATGGCATATGGAAATCACAGAGTGATGCTAAAAGTATAGCATGGCTAAACAAGGTCCATTGAGAGAGTTAGATCATAAAATTGAGTTCTTTATTGTCAGCTGCTTGACGTCCAGCTGCATCGTATCCTCCTATTGTATCCTCACTGGTAGTGAACATTGGGCTAAGTTAATAAGTCCCCCCTCCTCTGATAAGCCCCCCCCCTGAAGTACCTGAAATAAATAAGCCCCCTGGGGGGGGCTCATTAGAGGATTTATGGTAATTAAATTTTATGTCTGACAGCTGCAGTCCCCTGGACTGCATATGGTTTATTGCAATTTTACAGTCTTTTGAATTCACAATGGAACCTTTTTGCAGTTTTGGTCACTCAATCAAGAAGATGAATTGAAAGTGGATCGCTTACTCTGCCTTGAAGTGACCAGACGACAGATGCTGAAAGTTATGAAATGTCATGGGCAAGGAGGAGATCAAGAGTGGCGGCACAATAAGGTATGTGTACTTTATCATTCATGATAAATCTCTATCCAGTGGATATGTATAGCACAGTAGGCTTCGCACTCATCTGCTGGATAGTGATTTATTTGTTAGGTAGCTTAATTATCTGCCCTAATCACCCGAGAGAATCTGTATTATTGCCCCTACCATATAAATTAGAGCTCTGTACTTTTTGGTGATTGTGGTTTCTCTTACAGTTAGATTTTCTCATTTCATATGAAGGGTGTTTCCCATAACCACTTGATTAACAAAACATAGTTTAATGGTTTTAACTGTCTGGTGAGCAGTTAAGACAGGCCTCTTGTTCATGTTGTTGACTGTGATTTGTGGTTTGATTATCAGATTGGAAGTAATCATTGAAGTTCTTGTCTCTAATATTCTTCCTTGTCATAACAATTCATACTCTCACTCGGTAATCAAAGAAAACCTGAGCTCTATCTCCTGAAGTCAAACTTTTTATTGGGGATGGGCTTACTTTTCAAGTTTGAGCTTCAATTTGATCTTCTACTTTTTTGTTTAAGACTTTGCAGTTGTACCACACAGCTTCTGGTTTGTGCATGGTGTCTACAAAGAAATCAACAGTTAAGATGGAAATCTGTGATGATAGCCCTGCCCAAAAATGGTTCTTCACTTATGATTAAGGAGAGTGAAACTGATTTTAAACAAAGTGAAATTTATCTGCAGGAGAATACGCATTATCTTGATGTAGTGCCAAAGTCTTCAGAGTTGTCATTAGAAGCCAGTGGTGGGTGGAAATCCATAAAGACCATCAGACCATTTTGTACTGGCTACTTTATGAATAAGTGATCAGACAGAAAAGATATATTTTTGAATTGATTCTTAGCTCAATGTAAGGCTAAAAATTTTCTCAAATTTGATGTTCCAGAATGCTGGAAATCACATCTTGGATACTTTCAAAAATTTACATTTTTCCAAGGGAGCATGCCCCTGGATCCTCTAGAAGATGAGTGCAAAACATCATGCCATGCTTGCTATGCAAGCATAATTCAATTTAGTGGCTTACTCAGTTCAGATCATACATCTATTACTTTTGCTAGTAGCAATCCTGCTTCTTTGTTATTATATACATGGATGTGTGGAGAGCTAGGCCAGAAGGGAGAATTACAAATCAGATCTAGGAAGTTCTCTATCTTTCACCCCAATGAGTTCAATATAAATTTTCCTTACCTTATGCCGAGTATGCCTTATAAAAGTAACTGTGAGAACTTGCTGTCAACCCAAGACAGAATTTCTCCTAACATTGTCAATACAACATCAAGCGGACAAGTGATGAGAATAAGAAAATAAATCGATGAGGGGGTTGTTAGTTGATCCAATACCAAATTCTCTGAAGTAACACGAGAATTGTATGGTAGACAGGATAGAGAATTCCTAAATGAGATCAAGGGTATGAATGGATTAAATCTAACACTGTTCCCTGGATGATAGCTGTTTTTCTCCTCTCTTCACTTTGAATTCTCTGCTTGACTATGTATTGATATGGTGAGAAATGACGTTTTGGTCATTCCTATTCGTGAAAGGGTTGTAAAGATTACAGAAGGCTTGAGAAAACATTTTTGAAGTGGCACATCTAATATATTTGTAGACTTTCTCATAAGTGGTCATTCCCTACAGGTTTATATGGACATGTCAACATGAAACATGTACTCAGGGTTCCCACACCCCTTGAAAGTCCTTAGATTTAATTTTTTGTCTTCAAGGACTTTAAAACTGTTGAATTAAGTCTCGGGTCATTGAAAATTTCTGAAAAGTACTTGAAGATTTGTTTTGTTTTTGGTGTTGAACGTGTAAGATTCTTGCACAAATCACAAAAATGAGTTTTTCTTTCAAATCCTGTGTCTGATTATGATGTTTGACACGTGATAAAGAAAAATGTTTTTTTTTTTTTTCATTTCTGTTAGCTCCTATTTAATGCCAAAGGTCCTTGAATTTGAGAGCCAAGGTCCTTGAAAATGACCTAAAAAGTCCTTGACTGAATTGGGTTCCTGAAAAAGTGGAAGAACCCTTTGTACTGTCGGAAAGCCTGAACAATATTAAAAAAGTCTATGGACTATAAACAGGAGCTCAAAGAATCTCATGATCACATTTTTGTTCAAAAAAAGAAGTTAAAAATAAAATTGTTCCCTACACATGAAATGACATTGAAGTGAACAATTTATTGCCTTTTACTTAATTCATGGAAGGAAATTATTGACTGTAAAATTTATTCTATTTATCAATGTTACATAATTGTATTTTCCACAGCAGGTTGTAATATTTTGATAAAAATTAATGTTAACCTTATGCTTTGATATTAATTGTGTAATAAATAGTTGTTTTGCTTTATGTATTTTAACATAAGTTGGTATGTTTAAGTGGATCTGCTTCAGGACTTGTGTTATACTGGTTCTTTGCAAACCAGTGTTCACTGAGGTGAAGTTAACGAGATTGAATTGAGAACTTTGCGCAACTTTCATTGTTGTTTCCAATCCTTACTCCTTTACTTATTAAAGTCAGTATACATATTCTCCATCACTGGTGGATCCAGGGGGAGGGTCCGGGGTGTTCGGACTCCCCTATCAAACCTGACGCTTACAACTTTGAGACAGGATTGGGTATCACTTTTAACTGGCTGATTTTTTACTGAATCCAATTAAACAGTTAAGCGGTCAAGGAATTATAATGTGCAACCACGACTGATGGGAGGGGGTGTGAGGGAGAAGTAATTTGCCTCAAAGAGTCCAACAGTCCTTTCTGAACTAAAGTTTGGACCCCCCC